GGAGCGCTGCGTAAGTGTAGAATCAGCATAACTCTCCAATTCAACCGGCGCGGGCGCTAGACGGTTGGACGATCCGGTATTCGTCCGAATTTTCCGCCTGGGTATATTCAGTAGCTTATAAGTCCGAAAATAATGAGTTTAGGAAAAAGTTGTCAAAGAATGAAAGTTTTAGTTTTCTTTCGACTTTTAAGAAATGTAAACAAAAAAGTTTTTTAAAAATTGTTATTACCAAAAAATTTTTTTTTATAAACATATTAATTTTTTTTTATTTTTTAAAATTTATTTATAGGTACCTTATAATAAAGAGAAGATTTTCCAAAAAGTCCCGAAATGGACCTGATATGTTAAATGAGTTTTAAAACATTCTCAAAAATCACTTGCAAGCATCACAGTGGGATTTTTTTACAATTAACTTTTTAAAACTGTCTACAGCGTAGAACCTTTAATTTAAAACAAAGAACACGCTAATAGATTAAAAATTATACGCTGTAGACAGTTTTAAGGTACTACTACACTTAAGAATTAAAAAATTTTTTTTTATTGTATTTTTTAACTCCTTATGACTTCAGAAAACATCTCCTAAAGTATTTATAACCAATTGTAAAAAATAAAAGTAAATTTTTCAAAAAATATTGAATTAATGTAAAAAGTCTGACAAATTAAGTAAGTCTTTAAGGAGATGGTGGGGTCCAGGTTTTTGTTACGACCAGTAGAAACATTGGTGCTAATGTATGTAACAGTGTCTGGCATAAAAAAATGGTGGGGTTTCAATTTGCAAAAGAATTTTAGGTAATTTATGGATGGCCTCTAACGATACATATAAGTTTAAACGCGTTTTTCTCAAAATAACGTTTTCTCAAATTGCGGACAGTTTATCTCTGAATCTACTGAACCGATTTTAATAAATAATAACTCGTTTTGTTTGTTAGCATGTCCTGTGTGAGAATTTATCAGACTAGAAAAATACTGAAAAACATAGTGTATTTTGATAAAAATTATTGAAACATCTGCTTTTTTTTATTTTAGTCCATTTTTCATTAATAGTGGTAGATTTCTATGCCAGACACCTTCCTTTTTAAAAAGCAATTTGGATTTCTTGTTCCCGATTTGTCAATCTTGAGATAAACTGTCCGCAATTGGACAACTAACTTTTTGGAGTTTCGATCTGAATGCTGTCTGCAGATTATGATATTAAATAAAAATTAAAAACAAACCATTATTTTTATTTTCCAAATATGTACTAATATAGGCAAAAAAGTTTTTAAAATATTTATAATAAAAGACCTAAGAAATTTTTTTTTAAATTTGGTCTTTTAAGAGCCTTCTAAAGTGTAGTAGTACCTTAAAAAGTTAATTGTAAAAAATTCTACTGTGATGTTTGCAAGTGATTTTTGAAAATGTTTTAAAACTCATTTAACACATCAGGCCCATTTTGGGACTTTTTGAAAAATCTTCTCTATATTATAAGGTATAAATAAATTTTTAAAAAATACAAAAAAATCCGGCTCAAAGTTAAAAAAAATTAATTTGTTTATAGAAAAAAATTTTTGTTAATAAAAAATTTAAAAATAATTTTTTGTTTACATTTTTTAAAAGTCAAAAGAAAATTAAAACTTTCATTCTTTGACAACTTTTTTCTAAACTCAATATTTTCGGATTTATAAGCTACTGAATATAGATCTACAATTACAAGTCAAAAATTTCGAAAATTCATAACTCGAAAATTTAGACAATTAAACAAAAATGAAAAATACGTTTCTGTTTTTTTTCGATATAGAATAGAAAAAAAATATTTTTGGCCGATTTTAAGAGGTCGACTAAAATCTCAGGTGGAATTACCCATATGTTAATATTTTAATAAATGAAAAATAATGACTTTTTACATTAATTGAATATTTTTTGAAAAATTTACTTTTATTTTTTACAATTGGTTATGAATACTTTAGGAGGTGTTTTCTGAAGTCATACATGGAAAGAAAAAGTCCGTCAATCATTAATATAGACTAGTATATTACTTTGAGACGGGACACAAAATCATTGAATGGATAACATACTTTGAGTCACAATCAGTGACGAGTTGCTTGCTAAAATTTAGAAAACTTTCATCAATATATAAAACTCGTTCACTAAAATTTAGAAAACTGTCTATTAAATTTTCTATGACTATCAAAAGCATTCAAAAAATTCAACTTCTTTCAGAATTATCCCTAATTTTAGACACTATTTGGTACAGAATGAACACATTTTTTTCGTTGCACAGTTCCGATATTTTATTTACACTCTTAGATGCTTTAGACCAACACATTTTCGCACTTATAATAACTACACGTAGAAACGCACACTTATAACACTTTAAGTTTAGAAGCGAACTGTTCTTATATACCAAATAACAAAATTTTTCACAACTTGTGAGAACCCTGCTGGAAGTAAATAGATAGAAACCTTTTCTCTTTTAATCCCTTTCTATTGCTAATATAGAAAGAGATATGAATATTGTATAACTTTTAATCTCTTACCTATACTTCTTTATGCCTTTCTATTCCTACCTTTATCAACTTGTTCGCTATTTCTTTTAATCACCTTTTTTGAATAACTTTTAATAGCCTTTTTAAACCCTTCTATCTCTTTTTATATACAATCTTATTGCAACTTTTTGTTATCCCCTTTGTCATGGCGTCGGGTCAGTAGATCCGTAGATCAGAAAGCGTGTGTTATGCACTGTGCGATTTTACGTTTTTGTTTGAGTTTAACTTTCATATTTTTGTAGTTTATTGTAAATATATTTAACCAATAAATGCTTATCAGTAATAGACAACCAAAATTAGTTTTAAACTCACACAGCACCGAAACTTTTCTAAAAATATATTAAAGATTTACTTGCAAATTTTTTATAGTTAATAGTAATGAATTAGAACAACACGATTAAGAAACTCAATTAACAACAATAGAGAAAGTTTTTAATTGAAATTAATCGATTTCTTCTATAAGGGATATCTCTGTTTTTACTTTCCTGTGGATTAGAAAGGATGTGAAAATGGATAGAGAAAGATAGCAATGTGTGAATAGAAAGAGATAGAAAAGTTCTATCTTCTTTAATTCACCACTTTGCATCCCCAATTTCTTATCTCTTTTTATATATTTTTTTCTATATATTTCTATATCTGAAACTGTATATAAAGAGATTAGAAGGGATAAAAAGATATATAAATATAAGGTTATAGAAAGAGATAAACAATTTGTATCTCTTTTAAGTATCCATTTTGCATCTCCAAACTATTATACCTTTTAATCTTTTTTTATCCCCTTTTTTTAATCTCTTTGTATCTCTTTACTTCCAGCAGGGAAATGATTTTGCACTAATAACTACTTTTTAATTAGCGAGAAATATAAAAGAAAATATATTTTTATCGAGGTCAATTTCTAGACGCAATTCAACTGCAAATTATTAGTTAGGTTAAATATTCACATTACACATAATAGTATATAGGGATATGTATAGCAGACAGCAAAAACACATGGACTATAGAGAAACCGGAAGAAATGCGCATCGGTACACTGCGCAACAATGCGCTAGTGAAGAGCGCCGATTTAGAATACGAGTCAACTAACGTTTCACAAACTTTCACTAATGATTCGTAAACATTTAAACAGCCATTAATAACAATTCAGCATTAAATCTAAAACAATTGGTCACATACTGGCCTTCTAATCAATCCATGACTCGTTTTCAATCGTTAAGTAAAGTTAAGTAACCATCAACGGAAAAAGTGTCCCGTCTCAAAGTAATATACTAATCCATTAATGGTTGACGGACTTTTTCTTTCCGTGTAAGGAGTTAAAAAATACAATAAAAAAAAAATTTTTTTAATTCTTAAGTGTAGTAGTACCTTAAAACTGTCTACAGCGTATAATTTTTAATCTATTAGAGTGTTCTTTGTTTTAAATTAAAGGTTCTACGCTGTAGACAGTTTTAAAAAGTTAATTATAAAAAAATCTCACTGTGATGCTTGCAAGTGATTTTTGAGAATATTTTAAAACTCATTTAACATATCAGGTCCATTTCGGGACTTTTTGGAAAATCTTCTCTTTATTATAAGGTAGGGTAACTGTGGGTATTTCTGCGAATTTTTAGTATAGGTTAACTTTGCGAAGCTCGTCTAAGTATACGAAAAAATGAAATGCAGTTTTTTCAATTACAAATTAGAGATCAATTATTATATTTTCCAAAACATTAAACTTAATCAAATTTCGTTACTTATTTAAACTTAAAAAAGTAAATTAAAAACTAATTGTCAACACATGTATTATTGTTGACACGCGAGTATTATTGTGTGACATTTATGAAGCGGAAGTACCAATTATTGTGCGAGCATTATTGCAGAAAATCACGTGTCGCATAACGCGCTGGTTGTCAAAAAAGAGGTTTTGTTCAGTATGCGTTGCGCAGTAAACGTATTTAAAAATCGCAATAATACTAACATATGAAATATTAGCAATAAAATTGTTTGAATTATATGTTTTTTAAGTTGGCACGTCCTAGTTCTAAATATGTACTCATAGTTTTGTTTTTTGGTATAATGTTGGCGGCACTGTTAAATAAAGGACGCATCTTGACTCTTGACGTTGAGAAAGTTCGCATCGTTCGATTTTGTATTTTTTCCTTTTGTATTATAAATGTAGTTTCTTTTTTGGATTTAATAAATGTTTTAAACCTTTTATTGGTTGTCGGTTCGATAAAATTACTCCTTGCTTAACAGGTTATGGGCCCAGACCCGCTGGATTCGAAATAATCTGTACAAGGAGGTACGCGTGTGTGTTTTTGTAGGTTATGAACTTGGTGAGACACGAAACTGATCGAAAAGTGAAATTACGGTTCTGAAAGTTTACGACAATCATTAAAAAAGGGATAATAGTAAAAAAGGGTCTTCAAAATGGAACAGGTAGCACCGATAATAAAATTTTCGGGAGATAACTGGAATTTGTGGAAGTTTCAAATTCAGGTAATTTTAAAGTCAAGAGGATTATGGGATGTTGTTTCGGGAACAAGTGCAAGATCAGAGGAAAATGCAACTGAATGGGACAAACTTGATTCAAAGGCCCAAGAAATTTTTGTTGTTAGGATGGACGAAAAGCCTCTCACACATATTCTGACATGCACGACTGCAGCAGAAATGTGGAATAAATTAAAGACAATATATGAACACAAGTCTCAAGTGAGTGTACATTTGCTGCAACAAAAATTTTTCATGTTAGAATACAACGAGGGTGGTGTGACGGAGTTCATTTCTCGGATCGAGGATATTAAGAATAACCTAAAGCAAATGGGTGAAGAAATTAGTGACAAAATGGTTATTACAAAGGTGTTAATGTCGTTACCTGAAAGTTTAAAACATTTTGTATCAGCATGGGAATCTACACCCAGCGATAATCAGACTCTATCAGATCTCATGTCTAGATTGATGATCGAAGAGGAAAGAAATAAAACTGCAGAGCAAGTGACAGCTTTATCTATGAGAAGTAAAGACGGTAAGGGACAGATAAAAGTGAAATGTTTTTCGTGCAACAAGGAAGGACATATGAAAAGAAACTGTCCACAGTTAAAATCGAAACAAAGTGGCAAAGTTTGTTCGTATTGTAAAAAAGAAGGACATTTTTTAAGAGAGTGTTGGTTTAAAAAAAGAAGAGAAGATAATAGTGGTAAAACAGGTGATGGTTCGTCGAGTAATGTACCACAAGCTTTTGAGGGAATGTCAAGTGTGATAATGTGCGCGGATTTAAAAGCTCTAATCGGACAATCACATGATCTCGAAAATAGGTGGTGGTTGGACAGTGGAGCCACGGAGCACATGAGTTTTAATCAGGAAAATTTTGTGGAATTAAATGTGATAAATCACAAACGACACGTGAAAGTAGGGAACGGAACACTTTTGGAGGTTAAGGGTATAGGGAAAGTGAAACTCGAAGCTTGGAATGGAAAAGAATGGCGAGAAACCGAATTGGGTAACGTCTTATTTGTGCCTGATTTAGACGTGAATTTATTTTCGTTGAGCGCAGTTTTGGACAAGGGATTCGTGATGCAATCGGATAAAGAAAAATGCCAATTATTGGATAAAGATGGGAATATACGGGCAATAGCGAGCAGAGAGGGCAAATTGTTCGGAATGATTTTTAAGAGCAATAAATTATCCCAATGTAACATAGTAGAATCTTTGACCGATTGGCATAAAAAACTTGCACACATAAATTTCGATCAGGTGAGAAAAATTTTAAAAATGCATGATATAGATTATAAAGAGGAATTAAATTCTGTTTGCATTGACTGTCTTGCGGGAAAGCAGCACAGACTCTCATTTCCAAGGAGTGAATCAAGAGCAAAAATATCAGGTGAGCTTATACACATGGATTTATGCGGTCCATTTGAAGTGCCATCGCTGGGAGGATCGAGATATTTTTTATTGCTAAAGGATGATTTTTCTGGTTACAGACATGTGTATTTTGTGAAAAATAAATCTGAAGTGAAAGAAAAGGTGTGTAATTTTTTCCAGTTAGTAGAAAATCAGACTGGAAATAAGATCATTACTGTACGTAGTGATAACGGATTGGAATTTTTAAACAAAGATTTGACAGCTGTAACTGAGCGAATGGGAATATGTCACGAGAAATCTTGTGTTTACACGCCGGAACAAAACGGTAGGGCAGAACGCGAGATGAGGACGTTAGTGGAGGCAGCCAGAACATTTCTTCACAGCACACAATTAGATAAAATGTTCTGGGCCGAAGCGATAAACTCAGTAGTTTTTGTGCTGAATCGAGTTGGCAGTAGTCCTCAAAAAGAGCACACTCCTTATCAACTGTGGTACGGAAAGGAGTGTCAGATGAGTGTTTTCAAACAATTCGGATTGAAAGTTTCGGTCCATGTACCCAAACAGAAAAGGTTAAAACTTGATGCAAAAAATAGAATCGGAACTTTCGTGGGATACGACGATTGTGTGAAGGGTTATAGAACCTATTTCTCCGACAAAAACAAAGTAGAAGTTCATCGAGATGTTGTATTTTTGCATAGGGAATTGAAATCTGAAGAGAATAAACAAAAAAAAAGAAATCGAAGAGGTTATTTTGTTAGACTTCGATTATGATGATACAAACGGAGGAGAACCGGAAACGATCAACGAGGACGAGAATAATGGAAGTGTGATAAGTGAAGAAAATTTCGAAAGTGTCGGATCTGACGATTTGCAGCCAGAAGAAAATAGTGACAACGAACGAGATGAGCAACATCCAAGAAGAAGTGGAAGAGAGAAAAGAAGACCAGCCTGGACAAACGATTATGCAATGGATTGTGACACGAGTTTTTTCACAATTACAGAAAGTCCGACTACATATGAAGAGGCAGTCTCGTCGGAAAATGCCGACAAGTGGAAGGAAGCGATTGATAAGGAATTGAAAGTGTTACATGAAAATAATACCTGGACTATAGTGCAAAAACCGAATGATAAAAAAATCATTGAAAGCAAGTGGGTTTTTAAACAAAAGAGCGAAAATGAATTTAAAGCCAGACTTGTAGCTCGTGGTTTTCAGCAGGAGAGTAGTGATGAACTTTATGATGTGTATGCTCCAGTCGCGAAATTGGCTACTTTCAGGATCTTGCTTGTTGTCGCCAATAAGTTACAAAAACCGATACACCAAATGGATGTCAGGAGTGCTTTTTTATACGGCGACATTGAGGAGGAAGTGTATATGTCTCTGCCAGGTAATGTTGACGATATTGTGGTTTGTAAGTTGAATAAGTCCATTTATGGACTCAAAAAGTCACCAAAGTGCTGGAACACGAAATTTGACAATTTGATGAAAAGTGAGGGATTTACAAGGTCTAAAAATGATTATTGTCTTTATTTTAAATGTTCAAAGAATGGTAAGTTGTACGTATTGATTTATGTAGACGATTTATTAATTTTGGGCACAGATTTAAACGAAGTTGAAAGATTAAAAATCACATTTAAAAATAATTTTTGCATGAAAGATTTAGGTATTGTATCCCAGTACTTAGGAGTTGAAGTCAAACAAAATTTAGACGATGGTGTTACGGAATTAAGTCAAACAAATTATCTAAAAAAGGTTTTAAATGATTACGGTATGCAAGATTGTAAACCAATGAACACGCCGGTTGAATATAACATCGATTTAAACTCTTTGAGAAGCGAAATGTCAGACCTAAAAATGCAGAAAATTTGTCGAAAAATTGTAGGCAGTTTGATGTATGCAGTCATGGGCACGAGACCAGACTTGTGCGAGAGTGTGAATTTGCTTAGTCGTTTTCAGGATAAGGCGAATGAGAATTTGCTCAAAGCTCTAAAGAGAGTATTAAGATATGTTAAAGGGACAATCGATATGACACTGTTTTTTAAACCGAATTGTGAAAAAAATATTTTACATGGCTTTGTAGATTCAGATTGGGGTGGCGACACCACAGACAGGAAATCCACTACAGGTTATGTATTTAAGATGTATGATTGTACTGTCTCATGGGTTAGTCGAAAACAACAAACCGTGGCTATTTCATCTACGGAATCAGAATTTGTGGCTCTGAGTTTGGCGGTGAGTGAAGCATGTTGGCTGCGAAAAATACTTGCTGATTTTCACTTTGATGTTATAGAACCAGCTATTTTGTATGAGGATAACAAATCAGCCATATTCATAGCGAATAATCCTGAAAATAACAAAAGATTAAAACATGTCGACATCAAGTATTTTTTTGTGAAAGAAAAGATTGATCTCGGCTTTATTGAGATTGTTTACATTAAAACTGAGGATCAAATAGCGGATATGTTTACGAAACCGCTGAAGAAAATTAAATTTGAAAAGTTTAGAGCAGGATTAGGTTTGAAATGTAAGAATTTGAATGTCTTGAGCCGATAAAAGCGTAATTTTGTTTTATTAAATAATTTTATTGAGAGGCAGTATGAAATATTAGCAATAAAATTGTTTGAATTATATGTTTTTTAAGTTGGCACGTCCTAGTTCTAAATATGTACTCATAGTTTTGTTTTTTGGTATAATGTTGGCGGCACTGTTAAATAAAGGACGCATCTTGACTCTTGACGTTGAGAAAGTTCGCATCGTTCGATTTTGTATTTTTTCCTTTTGTATTATAAATGTAGTTTCTTTTTTGGATTTAATAAATGTTTTAAACCTTTTATTGGTTGTCGGTTCGATAAAATTACTCCTTGCTTAACATAACATGCAGTAAAAATTCTGCTACTAATATAGTTTTAAGTATTATTAATTGAAAATCAATAAAAGATTGGTAAATTAATATATTTTTCAAATAATAAAGTGTACTTCTTTGATTAGTAACACTAAAACGTGTATACTACAGTGAATATTGGAAATATCAACGGTTTTTAATATGTATTCATGACTGTCATATTTGATAATTTCACAGAATTCTGTCATAATATATTTCAAATTTAAATAAATAAATTAATAATTGTCGGAATTTACATTTTTATGAGCTATTCCATTAAGTAAGATTCAGAATAATTTTTTAAATTATTTTGAAAAAATTAGACGTAAATTCCAAAATGAAAATAATAATTTTTTAAAAATCGCAATAATTGTGTCCACGAAGTAGTATAAGGAGACCTCACGCCAATGCTTAGCAGCGGCAAAAATCAACACATTTTGGGGGGGTTAGAGTTATGAGTATTTGCACCACTAGCAGAGGTTGCGCCATTACGGCTGAAATGTAAACCATGGCCGCCATAACACTTCGTTGTATTTCACTAATTTGTAGGTTATGTTCATACACAGTAGCAGACGAACAATTTTAGTACAATAGTTTAACCACAGAGGCGCAACCTCTGCTACTGGTGCAATCTCCTATATCTCTGTCCCCCCAAATGTGAGCAGATTTTTATGTCCCGTTAGGTCTCCTTATACTACTTCGTGATTGTGTCACTCGCAGGAATACCCACACTTATCCTATAAATAAATTTTAAAAAATAAAAAAAAAAATAAATATATAAGATGTTATTGTTTTTTGGATTGTAATTAATTTAAGTAATATGTTGATTTGTTTATTATTTTTTAATCCATATTAAAATCATTTTCAAGCACGAAGCTTTTCGTCCATCAACGATGGACCTCATCAGGTGAAATTCGAAAATTCAAAATCTGTAAACAGTTCCTTAACTTTTACAAACAATTTACACTTAAAATTAACATCCATAAATTACATGTCAAAAAGATGTTCTGATTTAAAATTACATTATATAATACTAATAATTTTTATAAGGTTTTTTTTAAAAAACACAAAAATACAAAAAACATTAAATTTACAAAAAAACGTTAGAATAACATAACCTCACTTACTAATAGGATCTCTTCTCTCACATGTCGTCATTCATTTATAAAAGTGATATGAACATTGTAAGAAAACATTGTTGTGAATCCTCACAAATGTTCAACTTTTTCCAAAAAATAAACAAAAATAAAAAGATCATTGTTGCAAAAAACAGACACTTTGTGGGAAATAAAAACCACACGTATAATTTAAATCAAATGTAATTCAAAAAAAAAGTGAAAATTGGTGATTTAATTATTGGAAAATTTGAAAACTGCTTTATCAATACGGATATAGAAGTCTACTTTATCATGCTTTCACGAAAATTCAAAACGCGTTAAAACACAAAGTATTATGAGTTCGTAATGAGCGAGTGATAGATCTTATTTAATGATGTCAAGTCGCTTTTTTTGTTGACTGTATCATTTCTCAAAATATGAAACATCTCTCTAAATTTTCTTCTATTATTATTCTGCTCGTTACATATAATCTTAGTGTTTTGGAATATAAATTTGTGATCATGAATGTGTGAGTGTTCGACGAGAGCCGTACTTCTCTTATCAAGTTTGCAGTCTCTTTTATGTTCATATATTCTGTCTTTAATATATCGACTTGTTTCACCTATATAACAAGATCTACACTGGCATGGAACGCAGTATACTACATGATTTCTATGCTCAAAATCAATGGTATCTTTATTTTTCGAAAAAACTTCAAAAGGATCTTTTTCATAAGAGAAAACAACTCTGATATCATAATTTTTATATATATTTTTAAAAAAATCTTTTAACTCATTAACGAATGGGAAGACGATAATGTTATTATAATCAAAAGGTTCCTTAATGATGTTACACGGAAAGAAAAAGTCTAAAGAATATTTTAATGTTTGTATTAAAAAGTTGGACAAGAGTCACTTTTTAAAAATGTTTCAATACTGTATCTCTAATAAATATTCATAACAATTACAATAAAGTTTAAAGAAAATAAATACAAATATGAATAAAATTTGGATCAATATGAAATAAATTGCAATACTGCTTTAAAATACAAAGCCTTTCTATGAAATATTTAATCCTTACATTCATTGAAAGATTCTTAATACAGTATAGTAAATACGTTGAATCAATATAAAGTAAATTACTATACTGTATATAAATGTAAAACCTGACAATGAAATGTATAATAACTTATCATACAGAAAATTTATTTTAAAAAAATGTATATAGTTTACCTTTTAGTTTTTAAACTTTTTTAAAGCACCACGTATCTTGATATGGCACCCAGAATTCATACACTATAAACTCTAAACATTTGTTTATACTTAATGATAGCCTACCTAACAGAAAATCTACTAACGACTGGAATCGAACGCACAACCCTAATATTAATAGAACGCAACCCTAACCAACTAGCTACGCAACGCACGCTGCAGGTGGTCCTTCGATACTAGAGGACATTCTCACTGTGCAAATGTATGCGCAGCACACTACTGCGCAACTGACGCGTGCGCGATTCTTCAAAATATTTCATACAGTATAGTAATTTTTTTAAACTTGTCTGGAATACACATCTGAACTCATCTTTCTTATAAGTATTAAAATAATTTGACTTCTGTATATTGATAGTTTCATAAAATATAATAATAATTTTACGACAATTAAAAACATTTTTTTTATTATATGAGAATATTTATAATCTATAATTTTTTTAATACATTTCAAACGTTTTATCATACGCAACATAAAGTTTCTTAGACATCTTGAAATAATTTTCAGGAAATCAAATAAATATTATAAATTGTCCATCTTGTCCAACTTTTCTATAATATATTAGAATATTCTTTAGACTTTTTCTTTCCGTGTATTGTTATGAAAAATATTATCCCTTCTTAAATTGACATATTTTGACAAAAATGAGAGTGGGTAACTATTCTCAGTTAACACATCATAAATAAACTTAAAATTACTTTCGTGAAATCTACAATCGGATAATTTGATGGCTCTGTCAACAAGGCCAAAAATAACGGATATTTTGTCTTTATTTGAAAAATTGGAATGAAAGTTGACAAATCTTCCTGAAAATGTATCTTTATGATACCAGACAGAGTCATCAAATTATCCGATTGTAGATTTCACGAAAGTAATTTTAAGTTTATTTATGATGTGTTAACTGAGAATAGTTACCCACTCTCATTTTTGTCAAAATATGTCAATTTAAGAAGGGATAATATTTTTCATAACAATAACATCATTAAGGAACCTTTTGATTATAATAACATTATCGTCTTCCCATTCGTTAATGAGTTAAAAGATTTTTTTAAAAATATATATAAAAATTATGATATCAGAGTTGTTTTCTCTTATGAAAAAGATCCTTTTGGAGTTTTTTCGAAAAATAAAGATACCATTGATTTTGAGCATAGAAATCATGTAGTATACTGCGTTCCATGCCAGTGTGGATCTTGTTATATAGGTGAAACAAGTCGATATATTAAAGACAGAATATATGAACATAAAAGAGACTGCAAACTTGATAAGAGAAGTACGGCTCTCGTCGAACACTCACACATTCATGATCACAAATTTATATTCCAAAACACTAAGATTATATGTAACGAGCAGAATAATAATAGAAGAAAATTTAGAGAGATGTTTCATATTTTGAGAAATGATACAGTCAACAAAAAAAGTGACTTGACATCACTAAATAAGATCTATTACTCGCTCATTACGAACTCATAATACTTTGTGTTTTAACGCGTTTTGAATTTTCGTGAAAGCATGATAAAGTAGACTTCTATATCCGTATTGATAAAGCAGTTTTCAAATTTTCCAATAATTAAATCACCAATTTTCACATTTTTTTTTTGAATTACATTTGATTTAAATTATACATGTGGTTTTTATTTCCCACAAAGTGTCTGTTTTTTGCAACAATGATCTTTTTATTTTTGTTTATTTTTTGGAAAAAGTTGAACATTTGTGAGGATTCACAACAATGTTTTCTTACAATGTTCATATCACTTTTATAAATGAATGACGACATGTGAGAGAAGAGATCCTATTAGTAAGTGAGGTTATGTTATTCTAACGTTTTTTTGTAAATTTAATGTTTTTTGTATTTTTGTGTTTTTTAAAAAAAACCTTATAAAAATTATTAGTATTATATAATGTAATTTTAAATCAGAACATCTTTTTGACATGTAATTTATGGATGTTAATTTTAAGGTATTTGTCGCGCGACTGGTCATTGTCAAATGTTTTTATCCGTTGACTGTACTTATGAAACGATTATGAATGCGAGTTTCCGAAAAACTTTTGCGGACGTACAGTTTGACACACAGATGTTCTCAAAGTATATTCATAACCTATCTTGCATGAAAAACGATCGTGGCAACGTCGCAAGTTTGGCGTATGGCCGTCTTTAAAATTTCGCGCCAAAAGTAGCAGACAAGCTGTAGTATTTAACAAGCGCTATTGCCACGTTTACAAATTCACCTGTCATTTACAGTAAATGTTAAAATAATTTTTCATGTTTGATGTTAAATATCTTTTAAACAAGACGGTGAAAAATTTTCATTTTTTTATAAAAGTTCATTTTGGTTCAATAGATAAAACTTTAGTTTTTCTAAAAAATCTGACGATTAGTATAAGTGCAAAAATTAAAAATCTGTGGTTTTCATATGGTTTTCCTATATCGTACATGTTAAAAATCGAAACTTTGATTTCATTTTTTGAGACTTACAGACGATCAATTTTATTTTAATAGGCCTTATTTTGTAGATAAATATCCAAAGAATAATTATGTGAAATTTAAAAAAATTCTGTCGAAAACGAATTTACGCGACAAATACCTTAAGTGTAAATTGTTTGTAAAAGTTAAGGAACTGTTTACAGATTTTGAATTTTCGAATTTCACCTGATGAGGTCCATCGTTGATGGACGAAAAGCTTCGTGCTTGAAAATGATTTTAATATGGATTAAAAAATAATAAACAAATCAACATCTTACTTAATAAATTAATATGTTTATAAAAAAAATTTTTTTGGTAATAACAATTTTTTAAACAATTTTTGTTTACATTTCTTAAAAGTCGAAAGAAAACTAAAACTTTCATTCTTTGACAACTTTTTTCTAAACTAAAAAAAATATTGATTTTCGGACTTATAAGCTACTGAATATAGATCTACAATTATAAGTCCAAAATTTCGAAAATTCATAACTCGAAAATTTAGACAATTAAACAAAAATGAAAAATACGTTTCTTTTTTTTCGATACAGAATAGAAAAAAAATATTTTTGGCCGATTTTAAGAGGTCGACTAAAATCTCAGGTGGAATTACCCATATGTTAATATTTGAATAAATGAAAAATAAAATATGTTTATATTTATATAATATAACTATAATATTATCTTTTAAATATTTTGAAAAGCGTGAATTTATTACATTTTTGATTCACTATTTGACACAAATTTACTTGACCACCTGAGAAAAGTTTTTGAGATGTATTTAATATGTGTGCAAAAAAATTGCTAAAAGTAAGTTTCGAACGAAATTTTGATACTTTGTTATGCGACACATATTAGATTCTTGTTATTCTAATATTTACCTTAACAACTGTTGGATATCCTAGTTTCATGAAATGGTTTTGTTTTTTTGTGTCAGTCTCGAAATTTAAGATAAAAAATAATTATTCGAACCGATGCACAATTTTTCGCACCTAGGCAGTTTTATATTATGGCTTTAAAAGTATTTAGAGTTTTACAAATTTTCGTGTAAATCACTTTCATATTTTCGAAAGTAAAAAAAATATTAATAAAAATATTTTTCGAGTTGCTCTTTCATACATACGAAAGTTAAAAATCATTTCTACTTATAGGTTTTTTTGGTAATATTGAGCTTGTTGCTTTATTATTATTATTATTATTCCTCCTTAATTATTTAAAAATTCGCAGACAAAATTTGATTATTCTTAAATTTCTATAAAATATATTATATAATATTATTTTAAGCTATTATAAAGCTCAAATTGTTATTATAGATCGTAATTAAATACCAAAGATTGGTTTAAAATATCTAATTAGTGTTAAAGAAAACGAAATATGTGATGACCTAATTCCAAAAATAAATGAAGAATGAATAAATTTTTGGCTGAGTTATACTGGATACTGTAAAAATCGTTTTAACTCACCTCGGTCTCTCCTACGCATTGTAAAAGTATTCACTCGATTATAGATTACAAAAAAAGGATAAATTGAATTTACAAAAGCAAACAATTTAAAAAGAAGGGAAATTTATTTTAGCTTTACATATATGGTGTTATTTGTCGTTCAACTATATATTTTCCTCAACACAATAATTCTTTTTCATTTCAGGCAACGGACGCTGATTCCGAGCCGCCAAACAATGTGGTACATTACGAAATTATAAACGGCAACTACAACAACAAATTTTATTTGAACGAGGTTACAGGTGAATTGGTTTTACGAGAACCTGTTAACAAAACACGATACATTAGACAAAACACTCATTTAGAGAACAAAAAGCAACAACCGTCATCAAATTATAATTTCAATTTTAATGGAAATAAAAGTCTAAATTTTTTAAATTTCACAAAAAAATTTAATAACAGAAATTTGAATTATAGAAAAAATGGTGAAAACATTTTTTCCAATAGTGGAAACTTTAGAACGAAAAGAGCTGAGAATAATCCACTATTTACATTGACTGCAAGAGCCTACGATCAGGGTGAGTAATTTTTTTAGCAAAATAATATTTTACTAAGAATATTTTTTAAATTTCTACAGTTCAAGAATATGTGACTTGGTCTATGAAAAGGGACCTTAAGTGTCAAAAAATCATTTTTCACTTTTTTGTTGATTCGTATAGTTTGAAACGCTCTTTAAGATGATGAAAACCAAAAAGTCATAATTTGTTTAAAAGTTTTTTTAAAACTTTGTTTAAAGTCAAGAGAAACAAGAGTGCAAATACGAAAAAACTGATTATTTGTTACCATACAAATTAAATTAACGAAGACGATAATTTATAATTATTGACAGTTTCTTCGACAGCTGTCAACTGTCAAAATTCAAATTTGATATCATATTCGCAATCAGCGACCTCGAAAACTTTATTACGGTCTTTTTTTATTAAAAATAATCACTTTTAAGAGAATTTGATATTTAATTCAATTGACAGCTGTCAACTACTGTAAAATTGTCAATTTAACATAGATCACAATTTCTCAAACGGACCACTTAAAAAAATAATTTTGTTTTTCATTTTAAAATAATTTCTTTTACTCCTCGTAGAGTAAAAAAAAGACTGAAAATTCAACAATATAATAAAATAACAATATTAACAATATTTATAATTATATTTAACGTCCTGTATCGCTCTTCATTGACACAGTTATTATTTAACTTTTTTTGTGTGGGTAGAACACAATTTGTTATTAACATTTTATAAACAAATTATACAAAAAACTATTAAAAATAAATTTTTTAAAAACAAATAGTATATTACATTATAAGGGCAGAAAGTTCGAAATTCCCGCATAGTTTAGGGCTTTCGAATTTCTGCCCGTGTAATGTATACTCTTTTTCTTTATATACGGTCGAAAGAACGCTCGCAAATTTATTTTTTAAGAAAATTGCAATCGTGTTTCATTTGACAGTCGGCCATCTTTATTTACTTTTGCTCCTCGCTTCAACGCCTCTAGCGGACACTCGTGAAGCTCTAGTTTTTTCTCTGTCTCTCTCTTGCAAACAATATTCGCCTGCCCCGACATTTGATGCACGAGCGAAGCGAGTGCTTCTGGTCGGGGGCAGGCACGAAAAAAAATGTGAAAGATAAATTAGGGGCAAAATTCCTCAATTGTCCTAACTTAAAATCGAAAGTCTTCAAATCGGGCTGATTTTTGTACAAACTTTAATACTATGGGAGAGAACTTTACCCATAAAATATTAAGATATTTTATTAAAAATTGTAGGGGGGAGAGGGGGTTAAAGTTTTTGGTAACGTGTAGACAGTGGATTCTTTTAGCTAATATAGCTAAAATACTGTAGAGTGGACAAAATTTTGACCTATATGTTTTCGAAAGGTTTTTTCCTCCTCTTTCGAATGGTGTAAAAAATTTTTTTTTAATTAACAATTTAAGGGCATCCGGGAAAAATCGAGCCCAAAAAGTGTTTTCCCGCGTGTCGTCTCACTCCTAACACAGTGCAACAGAATTTCACTTTTTTATTATTTCTGGGATCGCATAGGGTGATTTTTATAGGTTTTTTGATGCTGAATGCGAATCCGTAATCAGAATTGCTCCATCACCCAAGGTTTTCGAGAAATTTGACCTTGAAAATTGAAAAAAGGACGTTTTTAGGATACTTTTTGGTTTTTTATCAGGGTACAAAAATTTTTTCTAGGGTTTTCATGATATGCGTACGAAAGCTCACATCCTTCTCAACAATCTCCAATTTAAACATTTTAAAAATATCTATTTTTCGATGAGTTATCTTTGTTTTTGTTAAATTATTGTTAAAGAATTTGAAATGATAAACAAAAAAAATGGTCAATTTATTTTTGATTTTCCTAAAAATATAATAATTTCTTTAATGAATCATTGGTATCTGTTTGAGATTTAATGGGTTAATATTAATAATATTAATATTATGTTAATATTTTTCTCACTGTTATCCCATTTGACGTTACGATGCGAACTTCAAACAAGGATAGCTCATCGAAAAATAGATATTTTTAAAATGTCAAAATTGGAGATTGTTGAGAAGGATATGAGCTTTCGTACGTATATCATGAAAACACTAGAAAAAATTTTGGTACCCTGATAAAAAACAAAAAAATACCTCGAAAACGGCATTTTTGCTGATTTTATGATGCGACGCGAACTTCAAACAAAGATAACTCATCGAAAAATAGATATTTTTAAAAGGTCCAAATTGGAAATTGTTAAGGAAGATATGGGCTTTCGTACGCACATAGTGAAAACCCTAGGAAAAATTTTTATATCCTGATAAAAAACCAAAAAGTACCCCAAAAACGGCCTTTTTTTAATTTTCAAGGTCAAATTTCTCAAAAATCTAGGGTGATGGAACAATTCTGATTACGGATTCGCATTCAGCATCAAAAAACCTATAAAAATCACCCTATGCGATTCCAAAAATAAAAATGCTGTTGCATTGTGTAATTAATTAGAGATATTTAGTTCGGATTTATCATGATAATTAGGGGAATTCATGATGATAAAGAATATTCTCGAAAATTGCAAGTAATTTTTGAAATAAATATTGAAAAACGAAATTACAAAAGTTGGATTTTTGGGGAAAGTGAGAGACAATATGGCGGCGAGCACACAGACAAGTGGATCTATGTGTCAGTGGTCAAGGAGGTGGCGCCAATTCTCGGAAGTGGTCGCGAGTTGAACTGAGGGAAATGTATTAATCTCAAATTACTCCACTTTCAATTGTTAATAAAATAGTTTCCTCGCAAAATTATTGCTAAAACGGAGAGGGCCGCTCCTCGGAGAGTCTTCCTCTATCACCCCTCCAAATATGAACCCGAAATATTTTATCCTCTCAAAATGAGACGTCTATACTGAACCGTTCAAAACCCCTTTTTTCCGTATATTTAAACAATTTTTTTCAATAATTACACTGGGTAACAAAAAAATGATCATGTCGTGTTTATTTCAAAATTTTTGTGTTTATTGAAAGTTTGGGTGTCAATGAACAAGAAAATACCAAAAAAAATTTTCAATTTATTCAGACCCCTAAAAAGAGGGGTTGAATTATTAAAAAACGGTGTTTTTTGCATTTTTTGAAGTCCTGTAAAAAGAAAATGGGAAGACATAAAAAGCTCTAATATGGCTTAAAAGAAAGCTCAAACCTTCATCTTTAAGAACCAAAACTTAAAAGTAATGTAAAAATTGCAGGGACCCTGTATTTACCGATTACCCCCCCTAATGTATCATACATTCTGGTAAAAATGACTGGGAATCTAAGCATATCAATTTTTCATAATCGGATTGGCTTCAAATTTGTTACTCGGGGGTTTTTGGGGTCGCTGATTACGAATCCGAAGTCAGATTTAAAAAATTCAAAATGGCGGCTTCAACATAGCGGATAAAATGTTAAAAATTGTTCGGATTCGCTCGAGACTTGGTTGAATCCGCCATGTTAAAGCCTTCATTTTGAATTTTTGAAGTCTGACTTCGGATTCGTAATCAGCGACCCCAAAAACCCTTTGAGTAACAAATTTGAAGCCAATCCGATTATGAAAAATTGATATGCTTAGATTCCCAGTCATTTTTACCAGAATGTATGATACATTAGGGGGGTACTCGGTAAATACAGGTTCCCTGCATTTTTCACATTACTTTTCAGTTTTGCTTCTTAAAGATAAAGGTTTGAGCTTTCTTTTAAGCCATATTAGAGCTTTTTATGTCTTCCCATTTTCTTTTTATAAGACTTCAAAAAATGCAAAAAACACTGTTTTTTAATAATTCATCCCCCCTTTTTAGGGGTCTGAATAAATTGAAAATTTTTTTTGGTATTTTCTTGTTCATTGACACCCAAACTTTCAATAAACACAAAAATTTTGAAATAAACACGACATGATCATTTTTTGTTACCCAGTGTTATTTATCAAAATTTCTCTAAATTCCGAGAGGACCGCTGGTCCCAGAGTATTTCTCTATATTTACCAAAAAATCCCGACTCAAAATATTCTTTTCTTTTTAAATGAGACGTCTATCACGAAACCAGTATTATTTCCCGGATGCCCTTAACTAATTTTTTTCAAAATTAAAAATATTTTTCACTTTTTTTTAAAAAACGGCATTTTTTTTTCTCTTTTTTTTGCTTTAAAATAAAGCTTAATATGTGTACTTTCCATAACTGATTCTGAAAAAATGACGTTTTTTTTGTTTTCGAATTATTAATTAATTAATTAATAAAAAATCGGGCAAGTGCGAGTTGCACTCGCATTAAGATCGAGGGTTCCGTACACCAAAATAAAACTCATTTTTTATAAAAAAAATATATATAAGAAACATAATTGATTAATATTAACATATATAAACCTATTGAGCTGAAATTCGGTACACATATGTATTTTTATTACATATAGATTAAGATTCCTAAAAGTTAAAAAGGGGGAGAGAAAAGTGTCATTTTTTGCAATTTTTTCGTAAAAATTAAATTTCTTTCCCTCCTAGTTCGCAAATATGTCCGTCAATCGAGTTCGCTATATTTTTCCTGTAATCTACACTTGAAACTTAAGATCCCTACGGAATTTTAGCTCATAATTTTGAGATTTGTAAAAGTTAAGGGGGGGGACAGGGTCATTTTTTGCAATTTTTTCGAAAAAATTGAATTTCTTTCCCTCCTAGTTCGCAAATATGTCCGTCAATCGAGTTCGCTATATTTTTCCTGTAATCTACACTTGAAACTTAAGATCCCTATCGAATTTTAGCTCATAATGTTGAGATTTGTAAAAGTTAAGGGGGGGGGGACAAAGTCATTTTTTGCAATTTTTTCGAAAAAATTGAATTTCTTTCCCTCCTCGTTCGCAAATATGTCCGTCAATCAAGTTCGCTATATTTTTCCTGTAATCTACACTTTAAACTGAAGATCCCTACCGAATTTTAGCTCATAATGTTGAGATTTGTAAAAGTTAAGGGGGGGACAGGGTCATTTTTAGCATTTTTTTCGAAAAAATTGAATTTCTTTCCCTCC